AGTAAAATACTTCCATTTGTCAAGTTTTTTGCTTCTTTCCACTAGAGTGCTGTAATTTAAGAAATGTGAAGCTCTTATGGAACGTGAACTTATCAACAAGATAAGTTCTAGATTGTGAAGAGGAAACTGTGGTTAGATGTAGATCTTTTTTTCTCCTTATGCCACATTGTACTCTACTTTCCTGATTCTGATAAAGCTATTTGACTATTTGGATACAGATATACGACACTGGTTCACTGGAAAGCCCCAGTGGCTCTTTTCAAGTTTGTAATGTTCAAATTTATGGAGGATTCATTCTTCATATTGGATCATTCAGTGGACAGGCACACAAGTTCTCTGTTGGTGATAAAGTAATTTGTAAGGTGAGACTTTTTTCTGCTTGGCCTTCCACAACCGTATGATGCAAGCTTTCAGATTTGTTTTACCTCTTTTTACTTACATTATTCGTTTTGATCCTTTGATGGGGATTGAGTAGGTTGACTATAACAGGCGTACATTGATTGCTCCCAATCATACATGCACTCACATGTTAAATTTCGCCTTAAAGGTACTTCCTCTGGCAGAAAATAAAGAGATTCAGGTTCCAGCATCTCCTTACTTTCTAGAGCTGATTATATGATAATGTTGTTGATCTAATGCAGGAAGTACTAGGCGACCATATTGACCAGAAAGGTTCCATTGTTCTTCCTGAAAAATTGAGATTTGACTTCTCTCACGGTAAGCCTTTTTTTGTATGACTGTTTCTGTTGTCGTGAGTGTGCCGATGTGTGCTTCTTTCTGAAGAATGATAACGTTCTAATGACCTGAACAGGGAAGCCAGTAAAGACGGAAGAGCTAAGAAAAATTGAATCCATTGTCAATGAGCAAATTAAGTCCGAATTGGATGTATTCTCAAAGGAGGCAAAGCTGTCTGATGCTAAGAGTATAAAAAGTCTTCGAGCTGTCTTTGGTGAGGTAAGGCCTTCACAATTTCGCCCCTCTTTTTTGTCTATTCAGACATTTAAACGTTCTTACTTTTTCCCTGTTGGAGTTATAGGTGTATCCAGATCCTGTGCGGATTGTGTCAATTGGTCAGAAAGTGGAGGATCTTCTTGCTAATCCAGAAAATGAAGAATGGTCATCCTACTCTGCTGAGCTCTGTGGTGGTATTTTTCTTTTATCCTCTAAATACTATTTATGGGAGTACATTATGAATTATGGTCTGTTCCAGTTGACTAATTTATGGATACTTAGGAACACACATTTCTAATACAAGAGAAGCTAAGGCATTTGCTCTGATGTCTGAGGAGGGAATTGCCAAGGGAATCCGAAGGGTTACTGCTGTCACAACTTATCGTGCTTTTGAGGCCACTGATTTGGCATCCTCACTCGAACAGAAAGTAAATGAAGCATCCCAGACTGATGAAAGCTTGCTGGAAGAGGTTAGTGCTTGTGTAGCCCACTATTCTTGACTCTGTAAAATCTGAGTACTATTTGGTTTCTTTCCTTGGTAAAAGCAGGTGTTAGAATCATATAACTTACCCTGAAAATTGTGCATAAAGTAAAACAACCTGTAGAGTAATCATTGAGAATTAGAGTTGTTGAAGTGGAATTTTTTGGTCTTGATGATTTGAAGTGAAATTGATTGGTAATAGTGGCTAGCACTAACTACTAATTCTTACAAAAAGTAGTCACTCATTGCCTAACTATAGCTTACAGAGCCAACCTTCTACAAGTCTTAACATCAAACTCCTACATGCGTCAGTGCCAAGCCAACTCAATTGGTTCTGATGCTTATGCCATGGAAGTATCATCATCATTCCTTAAGATTGTGCATTTTATTGAAGTTCCATAATTCACTTTGTACAGTGTTTCTTGCCCTTAGTTAATATTCTGTGAGGGTGTATTCTTGACTTTTTTTGTTTCTGGTGGAGAGGGAATAAAATATTGGACTGCGTCCCATCTTTTTTTTGTTTAATACTGCTCTCAGGGAAATGTGCTCCTAGTAACCATCTATTTTTTATTCTGTTACTTATTTCTTAAATTTGATCCCCTGCACTGTATTTTCCTGCTTCGGCTGTCATGAAACTGGACCGTTTATTGTTCTCCCTATTTGATGATTTGTTCATTCCAGTGTTGTGGACGGCGAGAGGCGACAAGGGCCTGCCTCGCCACGCGGCGAGGCGAGCGGCGAGGCGCTTGCCTTTTTGAATAAAGGCGCCAATTAATACCAAAAATTAAAAATATTTAATTGCATATTTTATCCAAAATCTTAATAGCAATAACACATATTAGCAAATATTCAATTCAAAAACCAATAGTAGATACTAAAATGTCCCTCTTTTTGCTAGCATCCGCCATTGATTATTAAATTCAATTAATTCGCTGTTTAGAAATATTGGAATAAATAATTAGGAAAAGACAGATTTTTTTTAATTAACTGCCTATAATTTAAAAAAAATGTTTACACAAAGCAGTAAGCAACTAAGCACTGCTTAGTGCTTACAGTTTTACTGCCTTACACCAAAAAAACACTTGACTGAAAAAAAAATGAAGAAGAAAAAAAAATTGTTGAAGAAGAGAGAAAACGATACCTGAAAACAGAGAGTCGTGAGGGTCGGAGGGAACTCGTGAGCCGGCGAGGGAGAAGAACAGAATCGACAGCGAGGGACAACTTGAGAGAAGGAGAAGCTGACAGCGATGGAGAGCGAAGGAGAAGAGACAACGATGGAGAGCGAGGGAGAAGAGACAGCGATGGAGGAGAAGAGAAGAGAGTCAATCGAGAGAGAGAGAGTCGCGATGGAGTTTCAGAAATTTCAAAAGTAATAAAAAACCCTAATTTTGACTAATATTTTTAATATTAAGTCAAATATTTTTAATTAAAAAGGCGGCGCCTTTTCTGTCGCCATCACAGCGCCACACCTCGCCATACCTCGCCTTTTTACCATCGCCTCGCCTCGGCAGAGAATGGCGAGGACCCCTCGCCTCGCCTCGCCTCACCTCTCGCCAAAGGCGAGGAGGCGCTCGCCTTTTGTAACACTGGTTCATTCAGCATTTATGCTACATAGTTATGTATCTTCTTTAATTAACCACTCATATCTAACAAAAAGAGATATAGTTATAGAACTGCATGTCTTCTTTGTTTCATTGAACACTGAAGAAAAGAACTTAATGTGACAGAGCTGTTGGTAAGATTTACTTTATCCCAGTCATATATTTCTTATAATTTCTCCCCTGCGTGGTATCTTCCTTGTTAGGATGTTTTGGAGCTGGATAGTTTCTGGCTAATTTGTCCCAGCCTAGCATCTTTTTGTTCTTTAATCTTTGTCAATTAAGTTGATCCAAGGCTCTTTTAATCTAGGCTGATCCTTTTTTACTGCTACTATTGTTCCTTGTCTGATGATTCATACATCAACTTCTTAATTTCAGAAAGTAACTTCTTTGAATGCTACTGTGGAGAGGGCACAAATTCCCACTGTTGTGAAAACTGATCTCAAGGCCAAGCTCTCGGTCCTCCAGGTATGTTTTGTTTCTGTTGTGTCCGAAGTTGAATGAAATTGCGTAGGAAAGAAAAAATAATATGCTGATGATTTCTTCAGGATCGAGTTATAAAGGCCAAAAAGAAGATAGCTGCTGAGAATATACAAAAAGCCGTCAAAGCTGCCTCAGAAATGGCTGAAGCTGCAGCTTCTGGTGGAAAAGCATACTGCATCTTGCAGATTGGCGTGGGTTTGGACACTGCTGCAGTCCGTGAAGCAGTTGTCAAAGTCATGGAGCAGAAGGTTGTTTGATCACTTGTGCTTGAATTCTCCTCTCAAAACTTTAATTTGTATATAAAAAATCATGACTGTTTCATTGTCTGAACAGGGTATGGCAGTTCTGGTATTTAGCAAAGATGAAGCTGCAAAAAAAGTTTTGGTCTGTGCTGGGGTACCTGAGAAAGGTGACAAGTGCAAGCAGTTGAATGTTAAAGATTGGTTGAATGCAGCTTTGAAGCCCTTGGGAGGTAAGGGTGGAGGAGGAAAAGGTGGTCTCGCCCAAGGCCAGGTTTGTACTCAATTTTGATGTGAACTCATGCTCTGCTTGTTTCTATAGTTTGGAATATGACTTGGGCTGAATTTCTTGCTCAAAATAGTTGCATATTAACTGTACTTGTGATGGTTGCGTTGCATACATTTCAAGTTTTTGAATGGCAAGAAATAAAAGCACATGATGTGCATTATGGAATTGTCAAACTTGACATTCATCTTTTACCTTAATGGCTTCCATTGCTTATACATTGCTTGTGTTACTATTCTATTCATGATGATTAAATTTCGTTCCTTCCAGGCAACTGATATATCAAAGGTTGACGAGGCAATGGATGTTGCAGCATCGTTTGCAGCTTTGAAATTAAATTGATGACTAAGGCCAGTATATCGTTGCAGTGTTCAATGGCTGAGGCTGGTGCAACTATTGTAAGCAAAAAAATTGGTTGATCAAGATTTTCAATAGGTCGTGGAGGCTCTCAGAGCTAACTTCCATCATATACAACTGTGGGGTCATTTATGTTGCTTTCTGTGAGCCAAACTTTATACATGCAGAAAGTAAAGGATAATTATAGAAGACTTGTATTGAAGTTACCTACTTATTGCATACTGCATAATTTTTATACACGAGAATGATGAAAGTACAAAGATTTTCCTGTTGTGATAGTGCATTTGTTATTTTTTTTGTTTTCTGATTACAACTAGATTAGAGTCGTACGTAGTTATTCTCCATCCAACTTGATTACACAATCAAAGATACGTCATGATAACTCACTTCCCAATAAAATGTAGAGAGGATCTGCAGATGGCTACTAAGCTTGTGTCTTGAATAGTAGTAGTAACCTGTGTTTTCAGTGACATGACTCACTGGCTCAACAGCAAAACACCAATTCTGGTAATTAATTATACCTGCAAAAAGAGCTTTGGTCTGTGCAGGTGTACGGATAAAAAAGGCTCAATTTTCATAAAGAAAGAGACACACTAACAACCCACTCCAAAAAAGAGGTGTTTCATTCACTTAGATTCTTAAAAAAGAAACACCATGCAGATCAAATCGTTCTTTGCACCACAGATGTCAAACTGGCTAATTACGTTTTAACAAAGTAATGACTGTGAAGGAAAGGGGAGAAGCATGGGGGTTCTTCATCAAATGTGCCAAACCTTAACAGTAGATTGGAGGCAGTGAGGCATTCACCAAAAATGCAGCTTTGGCATATCTGAATATCAGGAATTATATCATTTTTCCTGTAGATTCCAGAAAAGATGGACATTACTCATTTCCAGTGTACGCATAATAAAACTATATCTTCAGTCATCCTAATCTTAATAGGTGAGCTTCTACCAACTTTCAAGTGTAGAATCAGTTACAGAATGCACCAAAGTATTATGGTGGTTTAAACTTTGACACAAATATTCACTTTTTCACATGGAAATGCCAAACACCGATAGGTCTAGTATGATTCATCTTGTGTTCAGATCCAGCTCCCCACCTCCACGCCACTCACTCTGAGTACCTACATCTCCATTATCAGTTTCTTCATCATTCAAAAAGTCCTCCGATGGTTCCTTTTCATCTTTATGTCCATTGTTACCCCAACCGTTGATCATTTCATCAGGGCTAACTTCCTGTCCGTGCTCACCGACATCATTACCCATTTGAATATTGCTCCCCCTAGGCCCAAGTGCACTAGCTCGTATTGGCGCTCGGTTCATCATCTCAGCACGAGCTTGTGATTCAGCACGGGCTTGTTCTGCATGAACAAGAGCTGCCATTTGCAAATTAGGATCATGAGTCTCTCGACCCATCTTTTGCCTGGCCTCCATCTCTGTCTTCAATTCAAGCAGGCTTTTCCTCTCTTCTTGCAACAGTGACTGCTCTAACATCAGTTTCTCCTCGGTACGGAATTCTCCAACATCTCTCTTGCGGGAAATTATATTAAACGCAAGCACTTGTTTCTCAAATGTTGCAGTAAACTCTGAAACTTTCACAGCAATGTTGTGATCCCACTGCTGTGAACGAGAGAGCATTTGGCCACTAGTGTCTGAATCGAGGATCTTATCATCCTCCTCTGCTTCATAGTCTGCCACCACATGGTAAGGCAGAAGCCTAAAAAAAATGACACGAGGAAAAAGTCTGAAGTCAATACCATCGGCGAGATGCCATCTATAACTTTTTTGATAGGTAATCCACGTACTAATCCCAGCAAAACAAATAGAAAACACGGCTAGGATCTTACCCAGTTGGTATAAAGAATAAACATCAACAGATTATACATTTATACTACGATAAGCAACATGGGATCTAGTCGGTCAGGACTCAGGAGTAGCTTTTGGCAACCAATAAAGCTGACTACAGAGAGAGATTCTCATGGCCCTGCCTACTTCTATGAACTGGAGCAAAGAAAATGGAACTATATGCAGATGTTCTTTATATAAGTCACAAAACCATTTGTCATGAAACAAAAGTTTGGACTTTGGAGTTCCTTTTTCATGATACCACTCCTCAGAAGTGTACATCTCAGCTAAAAAGACTAGACTTTCTAGTTGTGTGTTGTTACTTCATTTTTAGTGTAAAGAAATCTAAAGGCCACACTTTTGTTGTTGCAATTTATAAATATGACTCCTGCACAAAGGTTGTGCTGATGATCATATACTTTTACCTTTCTCAAAAATTTAACTAGACTTTATAACAAAAAAAGAGGAGTTGCTGTTCTTTGATTCAATAATCATTGTTGTGTCATTGCAGAGTTAACCATTGGGAGATAAAGCAGTGAATGGCAAGCATTAGACAAACCATTCTATCGTGAACTTAGATTGAAAAGGAAAAGACAACCCCGAAAAACTAAAAATTCAAATTATCAAAAAAAATTAAGACATCTTTCTGTCAAATCTTTATTTCTATGACCGCGAAATCCCCCGCTTGAACTAACCTTAGGATCAACTGCAGCATTCCAAACTCGGGGGTAATAGCCACCAACACACTTCTCCCCTTAAATACTAGGCTTAGTTCGCATAGCACAGGACTCATATTTGTGACCTAAGTCATAAGTCCCTCGACCTTTGTCAAAGCCCTCGAGCCCATCTTTTTATCAAATAAAAGAGTCCTTCAAAAAGTTCTCTATAACATCTCCCCTAAAAGGAGGAGATAGTGAACAGAGGATAGAATAACAAAAAGAAGAGTAAGAGTCTTTTTTGCAATTACATCATGTATGAAGAGAATGGCAGCTGAGGATGTTCAAAGTTAAACAAACATTCTCAAGCAATTTAATTTACATGCTTCAAAGAAGTGACAAAAACTCGTGTATTTCCACGGCTTGTCTAGAAGCAAGAAATAATTAAGACCTATTTATATATTCAACTGGACAACTCATGAAAACAGAAAAAGAGCACTACATGGAAGTATGTTAAATACATCCTCAAAGGAAACCCACACCCGCTACCCTTTGGGGGCGCACAGGGTAAAACCCTCCCACTATGCAAAAGCTCGCATACTACATAGGAGAGGTAACCAGCACTAGGCAAGCCCAAGTGCGACGAGCTCGACCCTGAAGGCATACCCCTTGCTTTTGCTTGCAAGGGGTTTCGAACTTGAGACCTCCAGCATGGAAGTCCCAAGCCCAAACTACTGGGCCACCCTGAAGGGTTAAGTACATCCTCCTATGCCTATCAAAGCTTCAAACTACTTTACATAGGTGCAAAGATGTATACTATACGGTCATCAAAGGGAGTTCAGTGATTCTCCTGCTACATAGTGAATATTTAGGAGTATTTAAAGTGTTCAGCATGTACTTCTCAATAACTCTAGCTGATGATTTTTTTCTATATTTTATACAAAAGAGAACCCCTAGCACAAAGATTATGCTAAGTGAAACATAGTCACAGGAACCCCCCAAAAATAAAAAACCTATTCCTGGACAGGTTACAGTGACCCAATAATGTCAATTGCAGAATCTACATCTTCTGCAAAGGGCCTGTTTACACTAAAACTGCAACAAAAAAATACAACTCCATTTTTCAAAAAACACTTGACCTTGTTAAAAAATACCAGAAATGAACACAGCCAACAGGCAGGTTTGTCAAGTGCCATCCACTTGATGAGGTGACATAGATGGTGTTTGGATTGGCTTAAAATTTTGTCAAACCTACTTTTAAGTTAGATTTTGACTTCTTGAAGTGTTTGGCAAATATAAAAATATCTTGAAATAAGTTAGGAAGTGTTTGGCAAGATTAAAAATAGCTCAAAATAAGTTTAAAATGACTTAAACTAAGTTAAAGAACAAAAGTAGGCCTCCCCTACTACTTAGTTCTTGACTTAAAATCATTAAGTTTGATTTCTTATTTTTGACTTAAAAGCTACTCTTTTAAGTCAATCCAAACGAGCTCATGTCTAACTATAATGAATCCTCTGAATATTAATATAGGGTTTGATATATCCAATAACTAATCTGGGAGTGAGTCGAGATAATTTTTTGGACCACGTGCTCCAACTTCTCACATTATTATCTCTTTTTTGGGGGGTTGATAAATAGATCAAAATATATGTCTTTTTCAACTTGTGACTAATGAAAATACCAGGCCACTTCAAAGGGCCATGGAAGCTACTCTTCTTGGATCTTCATACTAAACAGTACAAACCACTTGTTTAGCATAGTAAGCATACTAATAGTAACAGACACGACATATAAATTATATCTGCTAAAATATAACAAGATATAACCATAAGCGGATATATGGATACTACAACTTCTTTACAATGTAACAGCAATATATTCCTAAACAAAAGCATACCTGCTCCGCAATTGGATATTTGCTCATATAAGAACAAGGACTCTAGCACAGATGGAAGCATGCACTGTTGTTTTAGAACCTATCCCTAATTGCATATTGAAGTTCAAATGGTACGAGTAAATGTGAATGGAATATGAAAATAGCTACTCACATCTTTGCCTTGTCCTACCCCTATAATATTTTTTTTCTCAACATTTATAAGCATGAGATGAATTTGGATGCCTTCAACCTCCCATAGATCAGCTAAAAACAGAAGTTGTACAAATAGACGTTTTGGATAACATGAAACCAGAAAAAAATACAACAACAACATACCCAGTGTATCCCACTTAGAACATAAAATCATGGACGTCCAAAAATGCAGTAAAACCATGTTTTTTCTCTACCAAAAAAATTGTTTTTCACTCCAAATTACTCCCAAAAAATAAAAAACAACTTCAATTTGCATTTGCGCAAAACATAAATATATCATTTTTCACTTTGAAAAAAAATTACTTTTTTTCATCTACTCAAAAGTCATTTCTAATCTACAAAAGTTAATAGTAAGAGGCCAGAAGACCGCACCTTTCGCAGGCATCTTCAAGAGAAGAGAAAGGACGCTTAAAATCAGGATGGCAAACTCGCCAAGCGTCGTGGTAAGCCATCTGGAGCTCCACCCGGTTCGATTCCGGGGCAACCCGTGTCAACTTCTGCTGCTGCTGCTGCTGTTGTTGTTGTTGGGAAGTACCCGGGTTTTGTAGATTGGGGATCTGGCTTGACGGATTATTGCTAGAGCTAGGGTTAGGGTTAGGGTTTGAATTCGGGTTCTGTGATTGAAGAGGGGTAAGGGGGCGATGAAGGAGCTGTTGAGGACGGAGATGAACATCAATGTTCGAAGGGAATCGAGCCATCGCATCCTGCTGCTGCTGCTGCTTCTGACGCTGGAACTGCTGCAATAGGAGTAGCTGCTGCTGCTGCTGTTGTTGTTGTTGCATCATTAGCTGCTGCTGCTGTTGAGCCAACGTCTTGGCTTCATCCATCTTTGATATTATCAGTCGGATCAAACCCTAATCTTCTTACAAATACCTGAATTCTTCATCAATGGAGGAGGATTCAATTATAGTTATTGCTAAAAAAAATAAAAATGTAACGGTTCGCTGGCTAACACTAGTATTATATAGTATTAATATAGAAAAAAAAATAATTCGGAGTCCAAGGTTCAATATTTGAAATGATTTCAGAGATTTTGTTGATTTTGTTATTCGTCTACAAAAAATTCAAAGTATTTATATACTTTAAAAATAAATAAGATTCAAATAGTATTTCGAAACATTTTTTTTTACTATATTTTGAAAACAATTTAATTTAATAGTATAGATATGTAATTTTTCAATTCTAATGAATAGAGGATGAATACTCAATTTAACAAAATAAGCATGAAAAATATTATCAATAAAATTATCTTCATTTCAAAAAGTATTTTTCAAATGTTAAATTACAAAAAAGAACAAATATCAATGATATATACTATTATAAATATTAAACTTATTTTATAACAAGAAATGATTTTATAATATTTTAATCAAAGTTGTATTTTGTTTAGTAAATATAGAATTAAAAAATTTAATCATAGAACGCATTAAAAACATCATCATTAAATATGCTAAAAACGTTAAGCAATGAGTATAAACTAAAATTTAATTATAGATTTTATCATCCCATGGTATCGTTAGTTAAAATGGAAGAAGTATATAAAACGTCACGGTTGACGTGTGCTTTCCATGAATTATTATGATTTGTGTCACATGAATTATTTAAAAAGTACAATAAAAATAAAGTTATAAGAAATAATTGATCACAAAATTATAAATTAAAACAAGCAAAATAATATAAATTGGCTCGTACTTTTTTGAATTTTTTGTATACTAGTTAACTAGAGTATATAAAACACAAAATAAAATAACAAAATAATTCCAGGTTTTCAAAAAGAATTCGTTCTAAAATATATATTTTTTTCATTGATAATTATAAAAAAAGAAGGAACTTTCATATTAATAAGATACTTAATACTAGTAATATTTTTTGTTGAATGATTAGCGAGATGATAGTAAAAATAGCTCTAAGAAGAAGATTATTTATAACGCTATCCTCTAAATTATGTATCATGTTTCTTATTTAGAAAAATTATTGTTGAAAAAATTAGTAAGGTTTTTAGTCTTCAATTGTAACGAAAATCACAAGAGGAGGTATCAAAATACAATCTCAAGAGTGAAGCTTAATATATAGTTGTCACAAAAAGGTGTTGTTCAAATTATTGTGTGCTGCCCAAAATGCATACATATACACCTACATGTATATACTCGATATAAACACTTTCAATTTATATGTAATTATAATTAATCAAATTACGTAAATATCTCCATACAGTGCTTTAAATTACTATCACAATTTATGCTTAGTGAGGTCGCAAATATTATAAAATTTCAAATTCTTATAAGAGTAAAACATACAATAGTAATAAAGAAATGGTGCATCGACATGCGAAAGTTGGTCTACTATTTTAGAGGTATTATAACTCTCTCCCCTTAAAAATATTTACCTTACACTAGTTCCGAAACAAGTGCCGATGTGAGTGAAAAAAAAGTATGTAATGACTTAAAAGAATTTTTTTCATGTAGAGGTTTACCTTAGTTGGACTAATGCTAATAGAACTCGGTAATGTCATTGGTTACCATTTGTTAAAATTTAGTTAATTTTCTTTTCACTTTTTCCATTCTTATATATCACAAATAGATATTTAACGATGAATTAGATTACGAGATAATGAGAAGAAGATAGTGATAACACTATTTTTTTTTTAAAAAAAAAAGACAATCATATTGAAACAATAATAAAAAGGAATTGATTATATCCTTTTTAAAATTAGTTACAGACCTTGTGAAATGCTAAAATTTTAGTTTTTACAAATCTAAAGTGATTATAAGTCTCACAAATGCATTTAAAACTAATCAAAAAAAACTTTCAAACAACACTATACAAATATTATCATATTTTACACTATATAAAGACAATTTTATAAACAAACACTTAATTTTTATTTTATTACATAAATTATTTCTATAATAAAAAATTAATTATTTTTGCCTGGATATTATAAATCGTTAATAATTATAAACCAAAGAATCAAATGGTCATAGACCAAGCTAGTATAGAGTTTGTGAATTAGACTGAAATCAATAGCTATAATTTCAATATTATATATTTTTTTTGAAAAATCAACTTTAAAAAATATCTAAAGTTTTAAATTTATAAATTTCAATTTATAACTTCACTTCGATAACTACAAGGGCGGAACTAGCATATCTTTAAGAGTTCAACCGAACCCCCTTCAGCGGAAAATATTACTATATATACATAGTTAAAATTATTTTTTAAATGTATATAATATATATCGAACTCCCTTCGACTAGTCCATATTTTATTCTTTTTAATTTTAAAATTTATTAAAAATTCAGGCTCCACCACTGACTACGATTCAATTAAGTTTACCACCCTATGAAGGAAATGCTTTTGTAAATGTGGTCCGAGGTGTAACATGCTTAAAGCACAAGCATCGTCACTTTTTACATAACTTTTGTGCTCACTAATTAATAATTGAGATCTTTGTTATACATTTTACTCACCTTTTTAGTATCATATCGTCACTCAAGATTTTTGGGTAATTTTCACAAATTACAATGGTGTCTAAAATATGTATCGAATAATTTTGATTTTTTAAATTTATTTTAATATTTATTTTTTGTTAGATATATATTATATTTAAAGTAAAGTATGGAAAAGGGGATTAATAGGAGGTATAAAAATTTTTTATCTTTAATTCGATATAAATGTATAAGGTTAAATTGTAATCTATTATTTATATTTTCGGTGATTATTTTGGATCTATTTTCAAATATTAAGGATTATTTTAGTCATTTCTAGAGATAAATATTGAAAAGATTCTTAAACTTGACATAAATTATTTGATTTGTTCACATATGATTGATAGTTTTAAAAACGCTCATCTACTTGACTAACTAAAGTCAAGTAAAGAAGTGTTTTTAATTTGTTAATGGTTCAGATATAAAACTAATAATTCACGCTAAATAAGGACAAAAAAAATATAAAAGCGAAGGATGGTACTCTCTATGTCTCATTTTATATGACTTAAAATATAAAAGCGAAGGATGGTACTCTCTATGTCTCATTTTATATGACTTACTTTTCTTTTTTGTCTTTTTAAATAATAATAACATCTAGATACATTAAGTTAGTACTAATTTAATTTAGTCACTTCTTTTAGACTGAGACGTATATAGGATTTTGATTAGATGGGTGCACAATTACGAAAAAATACATCTTAAATATAAATTTGATTGATTTGATTTTTAGGTTCTTCATATGAACCAAAATTTTAAAAAAATTATAGGTCCAATATATATAGTATTACTAATTATATATTTTGATATATACATTTGATTTAATTATATAAAAAAATTATAGTGCTAATTTTCTTTGGAAATTTTCAATGGAACATACTTGAAAATTTTGAAAGATTAAAGAGAAAAAACAAAGCAAAATTAGTTTAAACGTCAAAAATTTAACTGATAACCACTTGGAGAGGTGTTACTCAAAGACAAGTACACCTAGTCATCATTGTATTATTATATGATACTTTAAACATAAGTTCACATATCTTAAATATTATTTTTTTAAAAAATATGACACTATTATATATGATCTAGAGAAGCGAGTATGGGTTCACGTAGAGGTGTTAAAACTGAAACCAAATATAGGTAACCGGGTTCGGCTCAAGATAATTTGAATTGGGTTCATTCTCAACTCATTCAAGCTTAACCAATTTGAAGAGAATTATCAATTAAGCTCAATTCAATCTCCAATTTCAACCCGTTTTAATTTTTTTTATTAAAATATGTTCCTATATTGAAGGTATGAATTATTATCTATTTAACATATTTTAGGATTTATTATCAATTTGTTACCTTTTTAACAAAAAAATTCTTGAGTGGAAATTCAAATTGTGATTATAAAAGTTAAATATCAATATGTTAAATTATTGAGATTAATAAGGTCAAATTGGGCGGGTTAAGACCCAACCCGTTTTTCAGCCCATTTGAGCTCAAAGTAAACTTAGGTGGTGTCAAAACCCAACACAATTTCTATTGAACCCATTTTAATATTTCCAATTTCAACCTAATCCGTCCGTTAGATATCCCTAGGTTCACGTGATCCCACAACACCCCCTCTAGATATGCCTCTGATTTTAGACTACTTTACCAACAATTAAAGATTCCCAGTAATCAAATTAATTCATACTCTCTTTATTTTTAATTATTTGTCAACTTTTAATTAACACACTTATTATAATTGAACAAAAGCGAGTCTGAATGGGTATACTTAGTCGTGGAGCATTCCTAGCCTTTGCTTTTAAGAAAAATAATTATCAAATAGTAATTAGTATGTCTATTATTTTAATTCTATTTATTATGAAGTGAGAACTAAAATTTTAATATTTGTAAGAAGTTTTACCTTTATTAAAATAATTATTTGAGGTATAATATATTTAAAAAAAATTATGCCTTTTTTAATTTATTTAAACGAATAAGTAACTAATAATAATTAAAAAAGATAGACGAGTAATTTGGAACAAGAGTACACAAGTAATAAAAAAATAGGAAAAAGAGAGTGATAAAATAGGAAAGACAAAAGACAATAAAGTACGAATCTTTCGATATGCAACTGGTAAGATTTTCCGAACTTTCTGTATATAATAACTTGCCACCCAAATTCACATTCCCCCAAAAAAATTCTACTTTTTTTGCTTTCTCCGCCACCATTCACCCTCTTGGATCTCACACAGAATCTTGAAATCATACCCATTTCACCATCTTTAATTGCTGTCAAAAAAATTGAATCTTGGTAAAGGTAGCAGCTTTTGGGTTCTTGATACCTTACTGTACCAACAATTTAAGATTCCCAGTAATTTTTGTTTAGGAGGAATAAGTTATGGTGTCCTCAATCAGAGAAAGAGGTAGAAGAAAAGGGGGTGGTGGTGGTAATGGGAGTGAAGGGATGAGGAAATTGCTGTTAGGGTTAGGGTTCTTGGTGCAGGGATTCAGATGTTTTCCTTGGATGGCAGTTAATTTCTTTCTAAAAGATGGCCTTAAGGTTGACCCATCTACTTTACAGATCCTACAGTGTTCTGCCAATTTGCCCATGGTGGCTAAGCCCTTCTATGGAATTCTGTCTGATTCTTTTTACATTTTTGGACAGCATCGTGTTCCTTACATTGCCTTTGGAGGTGTGCATACACTTTCACTCTTATGTTGATTGTGTTTATTGCTAGTGAAAATAACTTGCTTGTTCCATGTACAGATTTGTTTTTATAAACAGAATGGGGTTAAGGACATGCATTGAATGGATAATTAGAAAAAAAATAGTATCTTTTTAGTGATTCTTTGTTCAAGTTCTATTTGGATTCTTTGTTTTTTTGGTGTTCTTATGAATTTCTGCCTAGTTATCTGTTCTGGAGGTTGTATTTACTTTCTATAGATTCTTGTATGATTCTCCAGAAATTAGATGTTTTAGTTCACAGGTGAAATCAGCCACTGACCCTCATGTTAGTGTAAGCCTGTAAAACTCTAGTTAAACGTGGGATGTTTCGTGAACAAGATTGTCCTTTTTACTGAATATGGAATTGCAAAGGGAACTAATAATATGTTTGATCAATGTGTAAGTTATCAAGAATTGCATGCAGTATTCTTATTGTAAGAGGAGAAGGAAAATAATAGGAGAGTTTCTTAATTCGTTTTCTCCATTGTGTAAAGGAGGTTGACTGGAAGATGAGGTTTCCTGAAATAAGTCATTTTGCATTTTATTGTGGTTCACTGTAGGCATACCAATTAATATGCATTTGGGCTCATATGATTATACTTTGGTGCAGCATTTTTGCAGGCAGTGTCATGGATTGCTATATTCCTCTCCCCTTCAAATATTTCATTTTTTACGATTACTCTGTATCTCTTGCTTGGAAACTTGGGTGCTTCTGTAGTTGAGGTTGCCAACGATGCCATGGTTGCAGAGTTGGGGAAACCACCTAGTTCATCATCCAAAAATAGTCCACATTCTTCATCAGGCCAGATCCAGTCATTTGTTTGGATTGCCGCTTCTGTCGGTGGAGTTCTTGGTAACCTAGCAGGCGGTATTGCTATTGATCGTTTTTCCCCTCAAGTGATGTTCCTTATGTTTGGCATTCTTTTAAGTATTCAATTTCTGGTTACAATTTTTATTCATGAGAGCTCCTTGGACCTTCCCACGAGTTCATCAGATCGAGGAATCAAAACACAACTTTCAGAGCTTATAGTTGCGCTGCGGAAACCGGAGATCTATTATTCGATTATTTGGTTTGCAGCTTCTTATGCAATCATTCCTGCACTAACAGGGACAATGTTCTATTACCAGACAGAACATTTAGGTATTGAATCGTCAGTGTTGGGTGTATCTAAAGTATTTGGGCAGGCTGCAATGCTGTTGTGGGGTATAATCTACAATAAGAACCTCAAATCAATGTCTCCTAGGACGCTAATCTCAGCAATTCAGGCTACTATGGCTGTTTTCATGTTTTCGGATTTCTTATTCGTGAAAGGAGTATACAGGATGCTTGGTATTCCTGACTCATTGTATGTGGTGCTCTTCTCCGGATTACTGGAGGTTCTCTACTTCTTTAAGATCTTACCCTTCAATGTTTTAATGGCACAGCTCTGCCCACCGGGATGTGAAGGATCTGTCATGGCATTTCTCATGTCTGCCTTAGCTGTGGCTGTTATTATAAGTGGTTATCTTGGTGTCGCTCTGTCATCGTTTGTCCAGGTGACAGCGAAGGACTTCTCTGGCCTAGGACATGCCCTGTTAATACAGGCAGTATGTACACTGTTGCCAGTTTATTGTTCATCGTGCATACCTGATGGTGTCAAGGCTAAAACCAAACCAAAAGAAGGTTGATCAGCTGTAGTTGTGAGTGATAGTCAATTCAGCTCAGCAGTAATTAGTTCAAACTTACCTTCCCCTCGGCCTTCTCCAACTTATTACTGCTACAGTTACCGTTCCAGAAGGATCTCATTTGGAACTTTAGGATGAAATTCACTTTATAATACATATAGATAGAATTACAAACGTGAATACCTTATTGTTAGTGTTGTCTTCAGTTTAAAATAGTACTTTTAAAAATTGGTATCGTGATGTATACAACTCCTTGTCAGTTTGCAGTTTCGTGTTTTCAGACTGTAGGTTGACATTATCTTTCATAGGACTTGCTGATAGTTTAAGCATTTCTTTCTGATTTGGTTATTACTATTAATTTATCATTTGCATGACTTCCAAGCATATGATTTAATTCTAATGAGTTTTGAAGCTGTCAATACCTTTCCACCGTGTCTTTGAAGTTTGAGTCAAAGAAAAATGTAAAAAATTGTTAAAAATGGCAGGTGACAATGTGCAAAAACTGATTCAGATACCACTCTTTGATATGGTGCTTGAGATTTAGATGGTAGTACTGTAGTAAGAATGAAAAGGGAAGTATACATGTTGTCTTACCAGAAATAATCAATCAGTATCACATCAAGTGGAAACACATAAAAATGTAGAATATACCTACAGATTACAACATTTGTCTACTATGTCAGCAAACAATCTCTTCTTTGCTCTTTGCACGTCATGCATCCTATAATATATGGTACAAAAAAATGTCGTCTACATTCTGTCTCTGCACATACATATTTGGGAGCTTGGTTTCGCGGAGAGGGGTGGGCAAGAATGTATCGGGTTCTTCATCTGTACGTTCTCCTCATAAAAATAAGTCGGAGATGCAAGATTCTCACATTATATGTACAGTCAAATCGTATTATGGTCTCTGCAAATGCTTTAAATTACTGTTTGATCAACATTGCGTCTAGTCGCCTTTTCCTTGCAGCATGTTTTAGTTTCTCAAGTGCAACTAATCCAACCTGCCTGACCCTCTCTCTGGACAAGCCTATCCTGTTAAACAAAGAAACGTAGCATTTAGAACAACACTTTGACGTGTATAGACACACACACACACTGTAATTTCAATTATAGTAAGGAACTTTAGCATGACTGATTCTGCAGCTTGATCAATCTGTGCAGTTTCTTTACATTCCGATAGGTACTTAAAATTGTTTCTCATTATCACATGGCGATTTTGGCAACCTGAATACTTGATGTGCTTCATGTGTAACTGTATTTCATTTTGGCTTCTAAGAGATGGCAATTCTAGACTTCTAAAATATCCAGAATGAACCCTAGGTAAACATGTGAGATGTAATGTAAATACATAGATACTCTTATCAAGATCAACCGTGTATTTTGGATGGAGCAAGTAATATTTGATCGCAAGTTATCAACCACAAATATTTGACTCTTACCTTTTACTAATATCTTCCCACGTGAGACATTCACTGTCCAGACCATAGTACAGTCGGATAATTTCTCTCTCTCGTTCCCTAAGAGTTGATGAAATGAGGTTGTTTACTTCATCCTGTAAAACTTTAAATATCAGAAAAGACGTTTCTTTCACCAGGATTATAAACTTGTGAATCGTCATATATACATGGTGTAACTTTTTCCTCAGAAGCAAACCTGATGAATGAGTTTCTCATTACAATTCATACTGTCTAATAACACTGACGGATTAGCTCTTCCTCTAATAGGAAATGGCGAAAGAAAATAAGAAGCCAAAAACATGACACTTTAGGCATCTACAACTCTGGAAGAGATTCCTGAGACAACACAAGTTTATGCAAAGCAATATATGTGGTACCCAAGCCTAGATAAAAGGATCAGCATAGGAAGGCCGCAATTAACCGCTATCAAATAAAGATATGAAGAATGTGTGGCAAGAGGCTAGTTTCCCATGGATTATGGTTTTTGGAATCTACCCATCATTATGAGCTGATGTACAAATATCATAACTGCAGAGGATATATCTAAGGGAAACAATGCTTGGCAAAGAATATTGGAATCGAACTCCATCAGGAAATAGGAACATCTCTAGAGATACATCTATAATGTGCAATGACTGCTACTTTTTCCTCATTGGTTGGTGTAGGGGTATTACCAGAAAATAAGCATATTCTAGTAGTTTTTTGCTCATGGAGAACTGTATGTTTTTTGCCCCCAGGTTAGATATTACTAAAGTACCATTTTTATGTTAACTATTTCACTTGTGAAAACTATGCTTCACTAAATTACCTTGAGTGCCCATACATCAACACCGTGCCATGGGTTGTTCTCCAGGTGGTTATCAGCGATGTACTGCAGAAAAGAGGAAACAAAAAGATAAAATAAATAAAGAAACGAGATCATGAAACAATGGTAAAAAGATTATACGAGGCCTCAAGGACCTTAGACTCTTGGGTTCAAATCCCTAATAGAAGGAGAGTTTCATACAGTTACAGTTCGCCTTTATGTGAGTAATAAACATAAATGGCCAGACTTGTACCAGTTAATTCCTTTTTATTAGTATTGTACATCTCCACCCAGATATGAGTAACATTTGATTCCATTTTGTCACAATTTTTTGAAAATTGAATCTAAATTTCTACTAGCCAATACCATAAATATCAACTCAAATATCAAATAGATTGTCAATGTTTACTTTTTGAGATGCAAAGTGGTGCTTGAATTATTTGGTAAAATTCAGAATAAAGTTGTCAACCCCTACATTATGTGAACGTTCGGAGTTCAGACTTCAGACTTACACTATGGAGAGTTGTTCCGGGCAGACCGTTTAAAGAGGGAAACACTTCCCTGTCAAGTGAATACACCTTGCTGCTTGCCTGTAAAAAGAAATGTGTGAGAAACATTTTCTTGAACAATGAGCAGGACAAGTTTAAGCCACAAAATTATTATACCTCAGTTGCATTCCTGACTTTCTTCTGGGACATATTTAGGGATGCGGCTATATTCTGGTGATCAATTGGAACACGAGCCAGTAAGAAGAAAACAAAGTAATATCTCAAAATCAACTTCATAAGTGACATGAGAAGTGTTTAAATATCTTCTTCCAATATATTGAAGTTGGACAGAACTTACATTTACAGATGGATTTATTCCCTTCTCTTCAAGCCTCATCTTTGCATTACGGATTAGACCGAGTCTTTCATGCAGATGTGTTGGCAATCTTAAGGTTCTCGAATTCTCAACCAGGGTTCTGGAGACACCCTGAACATGGGGCGAAAAAGTTAGTCAAGGTCCCGACACTATTTCCAATTTATGACCAGATAAAAGATAAACTTTATTGTTTTGTAGAAACTAAAAATAAGGAAGCATGAGAAGTAATTTGTTGGTTGAAATAGTTTGTCTCACTTTGTCGATTGAGATTTTAGATAAACAATTGAACCTACCTGGCGAATCCACCAATAAACATAAGTTGAGATTTTGTATCCTTTAGAGGGATCAAATTTCTCTATCCCACGAAGTAGTCCAATAAGGCCTCCCTGTATGAAAATGAAAGATTTTTCCTTCAGAGGTGCAAATTTTGATTTGAACTGTATTCATCAATGTACAACTGCAAGAAATTTGCATATCTAACTTTTAAATGCACAACATTTGAGTCACCTGAACGAGATCAGCCATTTCAGCACCCATATTATCATATCTTTGAGCGATTGACATGACAAGACGAACATTGCTCATTGAAAGCCTTTCTCTTGCCAAGGAACACTCGATCAATGTAGATTGCAAATCAGTACGGGACATTTTCAAGGAAACAGCAAGTTGATCATCAGAAGGCTCACATCCCAGTCTTTCCTTCAGCCTAATGTTTTACATGGTTTGATAGAAACAGGGTGAGACATCTTTAACAGCTTCGAGAAACAACATCACAATACAATTATAGCTCGGTATCCTTCCAACTCCTATGTCTTACCTTCCTCCTCACATGCTTTATTGATCAGTGTAAACAATCAAACATTAAATTTTGTGCCTGTTTTCGAAATAAATGAGTTTATAGAAGCACATAAACAGTTAAGACAATCTAAAATTGACTGTTTGGGTACTTGGTTATTATAAAGATTAGTTTCATGTGTATGTTTTGGTTGGACAAAAAGCTATATAGTTTTGATGGATGCAGACAGTTTTCTTTTAGTTCATTATGTGCTTATATGTTACTGAATTCTGTTAGTGTTGGAAGTGGGGATATGATCAGTTACTAAATCTCTGGTTTACACTTGAGAGCAGAGGAGAGGTGAAGGTGGATTAGGCTTGTGAAGTTAGTTACCTTGATTTTTGCTCTTCCACATGAAGACCAACTTTAATCTTTTTGGATAGTTGAAGCACTTCAGTGTGTGTGAGCAGCTCTTCACTTACTATACCCTTAACGTAACCTTTTAAACGATTTTGAAGTAGATCTGGACCAAGTATTGACCTCAGTGGCTTGGTTGCACTTATAGGTGTAGCTGAACTTTTTTGAGCAAGAACTCTTTGTCGAGAATCCATTCTCCTCCGCCTAGCAGACGTCCCTGAGCAAGCAATATGCATCTTCTTACAATTCTTTTTGCGTTGTGTAGAAGCAGTCAATGTCTCTTCAGCAGAAAGATTCCACTGCTTTTCAAGCATGGACTTCTGCAGCAAGAGTAGAACCTCCACCGAATCATCCTCCTCGTCATCACTTTCATTTTGCAATTGTTCGAACCTTTCAAACCAGGACTGCACATCAGAAGGGTCGGATGCAATGTCTACATGCTCTTTAAGAGCCTTGACAGATTGTAGTTTTCGACTGGATACACAACTGGGGCTATAATCGGATGACTTCTTAGCGGAGATCACATTTTTAACAGTAGGAACCTGATGGCAGGGCAAACTATGATCACTACTACAAGATAGCTTTTCATTAAGATCAGAATAATAGAAGGAAGAACTCAAGAGTCTTTTTCCTGCACTCAGTCCAATAACTGCTGTTGTGGCCATCATGAGGGCTATCCCTTTCTAACAATCCAAGACCATCACGCGTCGTCTTACAAGGAAGATTGAATTACAACAATATCAGGTTATGACCAAGTTTATATGCTGACTAATCTCCTCAATCACTTTCTGCAGGTAAGTCCCACAAAGAAAAACTCAGTAAAAAGTAACAGTAGAGAGAGTTAGCTCAACAAACAAGGAAAGCAATCAGAAATTCGGACAAACGACAAATCCACTTTTTCTTGTTTCTATTGAAAGCAATGAATTATGTTAGTTTCAGAGTTTCAGTGACGTACTTTATTAGGAGGAAGAAGAGTTAAAATACAATTTTTTTTTCTAGCTTGTAGTCCAGGCCAGCTTCATTTGCTTCACTACTACTTATCGTCTCATTTGTTTCACTGCTATGGCTTTATTTCCTTTGTTTATCTTGCAACAGAAATGATATTGTTAAAACACTTTTTTTTTTTGTTGATAATAAACTGATGGGAGGAAAATGAAAATAACGCGAGAGGAGATCAATGTGTATTTAAGTTTTTGGATATTAGAGATCAATTGTCATTGGTTCAAATAGATATACGGGTCCCACTTCTTGTGGCCTACTTCTACCTCTTCCTTTCTCTTTTTAAAACTTTCTCGTCTTATTCCCCATCAACGATTCTAGACTGACTAAGTTTAGGTGCTCCCTCCGCTCTTATTTACTTGTCTATATTTTTTCTTTTAAATGACATTATTTATTTATTTATTTATTTTGATTAGGGGTGGGTATTAAATATTTTGATTTAGTTTCGGTTATTTTGATTTTCGATTCTTGTAAAATGTGTATCGAATATCGAATCGAAATATTTCGATTCAGTTTGGTTTTTGTTATTTCGATTCAATTTTTATTAATTCGGTTTGGTTTTTTTATTTCGGTATTTTAATGGACCTTCTTAGTGGGCTTTTAAAATTTTAAACTTTATAATTTTTTTGTTTGATTTTTCAACTTAATAGGCTAAAAAGTAAAAATAGACAATACATCAAAAATAGACATCTGGCGGCGGCGGCTGCTGGCGCTTGCGGGCAACTGCTGCGGCTGCCTGAAAGAGGAGGAGAAAGAAGAGGAAGAAGTTTAGAATAAGAAGAGGTGCTGCCTCCAAGAGGAAGAGGAATAGGGAGTAGGGACATTACACAGGGTTTCACATACTTTTTTTTAAAAGATTATTTAACATTAATAACTATTAATTAATATAATATAAATTATAGTATAATATTTTGGTTTAAACCGAAATACAAAAATATACCGAAAACCGAATCGAAATACTAAAAAATACAAAAAATAAATCGAATACCGAATCGAAAATCGAAATACCGAAATCGAAATTTTAAAAAAATTTGATTCGGTATGGTGTTTCGATTTTCCGGTGTTTATGTCCACCCCTAATTTTGACAAATCAAAAAAGGAACAAACTTTTTTTCCTATTATACCCTTGTTTAAACTTCTAGAAAATTTCTAAGTTTTAGTTCGTCCTTTTTGAAACCATATTTAATAAAGGTAAAATTGTAACTTCACTTTCTTAATTATTATTATTTTAATATGTGTGTCTTTTTTAAAGTGAACAACTAAATACGGAGAGAGAGAGTACCATTTATCTCCGAGATATTTATCATCTTCGATCAATAATAAATATCAAATAATTTTAATTTATGAATAATATTTTTTTATTTCTATTAAAATTTAATAATTAAATTATATTTTTTAATTCATGTCGCTGATCACTAAACCATATCGAACCTAATATGATAATAAGTGTTGTTGTGTGTCTTTATTGGCATAGTTTTGATGGGTGCTTCTTATTTGTTCTAGTTAATCGAGGAATATTCCAAACCTGTCCAATTTTAAAAGATTTTTGTCATGGGCTAAAAATGTTAATATTTGGAAAGAAAAAAAATAGTATTTGAAGTTTAATTTTTGAAAAACAATCAAAAACTAAAGTTGGGTATGGACATGTATCAAAATCTGAAAAAAAAAAAAGAAGTTGCTACTAATTTTGTGAGTGAAGTTGTTAATCTTCAACTTTTTATACATGTATCAAAAACTAAAGTTGTTAATTTTGAGAGTTTTGGTTAGAGGGAGAATTTGTGGGTCACAAGTTTGATACATTATCACTTGTGTGAACTTCCCACGTTAAACCTTTGTGTCTTTTGGTATATTCCTCGTTGTCTTTCTTACTCATGGTCTTTTGAGGTTTGCTTTGCTAGCTTCTGCGTTTACACCTGCTTATTTTCGGTCCTAACACATTGCTCATTGAAAGCCTTTCTCTTGCCAAGGTTCACTCCATCAATGTATTATTATAAATCAGTACAGGACTTTTTCAAGGAAAGACTGCAAGCTGATCATCAGAAGGCTCACATCAGTCTTTCTTTCAGCCTAAAGTTTTCCATGGTTTCATGGAAACAGAGCGAGACATCTTTAACAGCGTCAAGAAATAGCATTACAGCCATAGTTGGGTATCCTGTCCAACTCCCAATGTCTTACCTTCCACCTCACATGCTTGGACCAGAAGCTATAGAGTAGATCGATGCAGACAGTTTTCTTTTAGTTCATTTATGTTCTGATGAATTCTGTTAGTGTTGAAGTGGTGATATGACCAACTTGAATCTTTTTGGACAGTTGAAGCACTTACAGTATGTGTGAGCAGCCCTTCACTTTCTACACTCTTAACATAACCTTTTAAACGATTTTGAAGTAGCTTTGGACGAAGTATTGATCTCAGCGGCTTGGTTGCACTGATAGGTGTAGCTGAACTTTTTTGACCAAGAACTCTTTGTCTCCTCCGCCTAGCAGGTGTCCCTGAGCAACAAATGTGCATCTTCTTACACTTCTTTTCATGTTGTGGAGAAGCAGTCAATGTCTCTTCAGCTGAAAGATTAAGCATGGACTTCAGCAGCAAGAGGAGAACCTCCACCGAATCATCGATCATCCTTGTCATCACTTCCATTTTGCAGTCTCATCTGTACAGATTTTTTACAAGCTTGGTGTTCTGTTGCATTACTTGCTTTGTATGTCTTTACTATTTTTCGTAATTTTCTTTTCAATCTGTTTTGGTTACATATTTTTTGAGCTGTCAGAAACAAGTTTTTCTACAAATAAAAATAGGATAAAGTCTGCGTACATCCTATCCTTTGCAAGCCTCACTTGTGAAATTAAATTTGTTGCATGTACCTTGACTAATTTTACGAGTATTTGTTACCTCCCACCAACATATATTGAGACATCTAGTGAAATTTGAACCCAAGACCCATGATTTTCAACGCAGTAGGCCACACTTGGGTGCTAGTATATGCAATTTTCAAATAAGCGTGATCTACCTCTTTGAAGTTCCAATATATATAGCTTAAAATTAGAAAACCAAATACTCCACTACAATATTAAAATCTTGTTCACGTAATAATAATTATGTATACAATTAACAGATCTGTATACACTGCGAATAGTACGATGGGAGCAGATTCTACAGTTCGATTAAAAACAATTACTACTATGAAAATGAAATAGGAATGAAAAAAAAAAAGAGAAATTAAGCTGAAAGATGTTAAAGCAATGAGTGCAGCTTACGTACCTGAATTTCAGTAAACTGACAATAATGGTGATGCAGTGGTGCGTTGCAAATTGCAATGGTGGTGGAAGTACAAGTTGAGAGTTTGTTGTAACAGAAATGATATTGTTCTAAGTTCTAAAATTTTTATTGTTTATGATAAATAAATAATATTATTAGGCAGCATTTTACCTTTATAGCCGAATATAATCGGATATCGAAAATTATATGTGGGTCTCACTTCTCGTGGCGTACCTCTTTTCTTTCCTTTTTCTATGTTGTTACTTTGTAGACTTTGTCTTCTCTCCCAAATCTCATCTACCGGTCAATCCTGCCCGCCGCTTACTTGGTCTTATCTCCCAGCGAACGGCCGGTCAACACTCTGTTTTTTTAACTCCAATTTTTGTCACCAAACCCATAAAGCACAAACATACATAACTTCAACTTCATTTCAATTATAATCTCTAGTAGAAATGGAGAATTCAAGTCAAGAATCGCATCTCCGATCTGAAAATTCCGTTACATATGACTCCTCTTACCCGATCTACGCTATGGCTTTTTCATCCTTCACTTCTTCCCTCACAAACCGCCGCCGTCGACTTGCCGTCGGAAGCTTTATCGAAGAGTTCAACAATCGGGTTGATATTCTCTCTTTCGACGAAGATACCCTAACCCTTAAGCCCGTTCCAAATCTCTCTTTCGAACACCCTTATCCACCAACAAAGCTCATGTTTCATCCTAATCCTTCTGCTTCTCTCAAGACTAATGATATTCTTGCCTCTTCCGGCGACTACCTCCGTCTCTGGGATGTTACTGATACTTCCATTGAACCACTTTTCACTCTCAGTAACAATAAAACCAGTGAATACTGTGCTCCTTTGACGTCTTTTGATTGGAATGAAGTGGAGCCGAGAAGAATTGGTACTTCTAGTATAGACACTACTTGTACCATCTGGGATGTTGAAAAAGGAGTTGTGGAAACTCAATTGATAGCACATGACAAAGAGGTTTACGATATAGCTTGGGGTGAAGCTGGGGTTTTTGCGTCTGTTTCTGCTGATGGATCCGTTAGGATTTTTGATTTGAGAGATAAGGAACACTCGACGATTATTTATGAGAGCCCGAAACCGGATACGCCATTGTTGAGGTTGGCTTGGAACAAACAGGATTTGAGATACATGGCTACCATATTGATGGATAGCAACAAGATTGTGATCTTAGATATTAGGTCTCCAGCAATGCCGGTGGCTGAACTGGAAAGGCATCAGGCGAGTGTGAATGCTATTGCTTGGGCTCCGCAGAGCTGTAGACATATTTGTTCTGGTGGGGATGACGGACAGGCGCTCATTTGGGAGTTGCCAACTGTTGCAGGGCCTAATGGGATTGATCCCATGTCAGTGTACACCGCCGGAGCTGAGATTAATCAAATTCAGTGGTCTGCTGCACAGCGTGATTGGATTGCCATTACGTTTTCTAACAAGTTGCAGCTGCTTAAAGTATAAATCGAATGGAATAATTGAAGTTTTACTTGTAGATTAATGGCTGTCTTTCTTTGTTAGAGATGAAAAATATTTTGCCTTATATTTCTTTAATAGTAAATTACTTGAATAATAAACATCATTATCTTTGGATTAGCGCCCTATTGATAGTGTCTTCGGAGTGTTGGAGAAAGAACTCAATCCGCTAATGGGGTCTCAGTTGATTTTCCTTTCTTTAGCTACTAAGATGTTTCAATTCGTTATGAATTATAACGAGATATTTGGCAAAATTTGAACAAATAGAAAGTCATTTAATATTATTGCTAGAATTAAATTAGAAATCTCATTGATTATTCACTTATTTCATGAAGAATAAACCTGTCCACTCTTGAAGTTTTATGATTTTCAATTTATTTCAGTGACCTTAGGCCATATCCTTGAAATTTATGACGCGATAATTTTCAACATATCCTTGAATTGTATGATCCAATGATTTTCAATTCATTTCAATGATCTATGGCCATATCCGCGAATTATATGACGCCAGGGCCGGAGTCACCTTGAACGAACGGGGTTCATCGGAAAATTATATTATTTATACATGGTTAAAATAATTTTATGTGTATATATAGTAGATATCGAACCCCTGATTA